AAGCCAAATAAAAAAGGCTGAAACAGAATTTTATTTGAACAACGACCCTGAAAAACGACATATCCTGTCTATAATGAGAGTTAATTATGATAAGCTAACAACTGAGAGAGTGGTTAAAAGTCTAATGTGGACTAAACAAACATATTATGACCAAGGGGAAAAAGCAGGGAAATTATTGGCTTGGAGGATAAAGAAAATGCAGTATCTGGCAGTCTAACTATAGAACCATCAGGAATAAATGACATATTTTAAAGAATTTTACAAATCACTCTGCAAGTCAGAATGTACAGGAAATAGAGAAGCACAGGATGTCATGATTTGGTCTTATTTAGTTTTGTATTTCAGTGTTTAGTGTTTCTTTATGTTCTAGTGTGTTTTGTTCATTATTGAGTTCTGTGTGTCTTTAGTGTTTCATGATTTAGTTTTGTAGTTGTCCTCAGTGTTTCTTGTATTGTATTCATGCCTCTGTGTGTTTTCCCTCTATGTTGTTTGCCCTGATTGTCCTCACCTGTGTTTTGTTAGTCTCACCTGTGTCTGATTACCCCTGTGTCTATTTAGTCTCTGTGTTTCTGCCCTTCTGTGTCAGTTCATTGTCGTTTGTGGGTGCGTTTGTTGTATGTCAGTTTACCCGTGGCTCCTTATCTTGTTGGATTTTTGTGTGCCTTTTTTATGTTTTAAGAATAAATAGTTTTTGTTAATTCTGCATCTGGGTCCTCCTCTTAGTTTTCTTGATCTGTGACACAGGATGCTTTTCTTGACCAGTTACAATTTCAGACTCTATCAGAGGAGGAAAAAAATAACACTAGATAACCCATTAACAACAGATGACATTTGTGAAGCTATAGGAGATATAAATACTGGTAAGGTACCTGGGCCTGATGGGCTACCAATAGATAAATAATTTAAACTATAAAACATTTAAAAGACAACTTGTTCAACCACTTCTTGACATGTATGTAGAATCACTTGGTTTAGGAACACTCCCAGATTCATTGAGACTAGCCACAATAACCCTTATACTAAAACCAAACAAGCCTCCAACTGAATGCTCGTCTTACAGGGGAATTAGTTTAATGGGATGTGACAAAAATATACTTTGCAAGGCACTTTTTAGAAGACTAGATACATATCTCCCTAAATTGGCTATTGATGATCAACAAGGTTTTGTACAAAAAAGACAGGGTTATCACAACATCAGACGAGTACTAAATATATTACATGAGAGACATAATGCAAGAGACACAGCAATGCTATCTGTAGATGCATGTCAAGCATTTGATAGAATAGAATGGGACTACCTTTTTGAATTGCTTCCAAGATACGGGTTAGGTGAAATGTTTCTCAAATGGATTTGTTTATTGTACACAAACCCTACTGCACAAATCCTAACTAATAGTAACATCTCAAGGCCCTTTAATTTACAGCAATCAACCAGGCAGGGTTGCCCCCTGTCTCCATTACTATTCACTCTGGCAATAGAAACCTTGGCCATGGCGGTTAGAGAGCACATAGGGATATCAGGTGTTACCATCAGGGGGAAAGATCTCTTATTTCATTATATGCTGATGACATCATATGTTTCCTGACAAATTTAAAAAATAGCATTCCTAATTTGATGAGTTATTGAAAACTTGGGAAGGTTTTCTGGATATAAAATGAATGACTCTAAATCAGTATTAATGTTTCTCAATGAGGAGGAAAGAAAGAATCCCAAAGTTAACACTCCATTTTTAACAACCACTGAAGGTTTTAAGTACTTGGATGTTAAAATCACCCCTGAACTCAATAACATAATCCAGCAAATTATGACCCCCTGGTGGACCAGGTCACTGAATTATTGAATCACTGGTCTAATCTGCCTATATCTATGATCGGAAGAATAAATATTATAAAAATGAGTAATCTCCCTAAATTTTTACAGTATTTCCAAACACTCCCATTGTCACTACCAGACACGTTTTATGACAAACTCAGTAAGTTATTTAGTCAATTTATTGGGAATGATAAAAAAGATAGACTCCAACTTAAACTATTATATCTGCCTTATGAGAGAGGGGGGCTTCAATTTTCAAATCTTAGATGGTACTACGTGGCTGCCCAGCTAACTTCACATTATTTTGCCAACAACACCTCCAGCTTGGGTAGACATCGAGAAAAATTCCATTCCAGATTTACCTTTATATGTTTATCTATATTCTTCAGATATTTAAACACTGAACATTTTTACAAAAAATCCCTTTCTAAGAAATACAATTACATTTTGGCATGTTGCACATAAATATGTCGGTGATTTGCCCCCATTGTTTCAATTTACTCCTATTTGGTGTAATGACAAGTTTTACCAGGTAGAAAGGACAGAGGATTTATGTCATGGAGTATGAAAGGTATTCAGAAAGTAAAGGATCTTTATGTGGATGGAGTTTTGCTTACTTTCGATCAATTATGTAAGTATCAAATACCCAAAAAACATTTCTTCAAATATTTACAGTTAAAAAACTTTATGTCATCAAAGTCTGGGCAGATTATATGTATTCCACCTTTAACGGAAATAGAGAAGATAACCCTGCATAATTTGGCGAAAAAGGGTCACCTCTCTAAATATTACAATGTATTAATGTCCAATGCCAAAGAGTCAACACTAGACAAACTAAATGCATGGAGAAATGACATTCAAGAAGATATTGATGAAGCAGACTGGAATGATGCTTGTTTTAAGGCACAGAAACAGACAATAAATACGAGATTTAAATTACTTCAATATAAATCGTTGACAAGAATGTACATAACTCCTGTCAAACTTCATCATATGTCTACTAATATTCCAGATGTTTGTACTAAATGTGTCAATGAAAAATGTACTCCTATCCACTGTCTATGAAAATGTCCAAAGATTCAGGACTTTTGGAAAGATGTTGTAAAATGTTTGTCAGAGATTTTTAAAACAAAAATGTCTTTAATGTCAAACTCTGCGTGCTTGGACTATTTCCGGAGGACTTTACACAAACGCACAAACAGACCAAACTTCTGGAATTTAGACTTCTACAAGCAAGGAGAGCTGTTGCACTATGTTGGAAAAGTATGGACGCTCCTACATTGAGAATGTGGATAAGGGAACTTTCAGAGTGTATTGGCTTGGAGAGACTAACGTACATTGCTAAAGGCAAACGGAGAGATTTTGTCCAGCTCTGGGAACCATATATGAACATTATAGAAGCCAGGAATATAGGCTTCACCTAAACAGAAATTATAAAATGTATTGTATTTATTTTTGATCTAAAAATGTAATCAAGTTGAGTGTGGGCATGTGAGTTTGTGTATTTTGTCGATACATGTATGGGTTTAAGGTCTGAAACTGTTTAACTGTTACTGTATGTTTCCTTTGTGTTTATAAAAATTGCCAATAAAAACACTAATCCCATCCAATAATACACAGAGCGTCTAAACACCACGCTGAAAACCAAATGACAGAAATGTACCTTCAACAGCCATCCGACTCTCAGCTGATTCTCCTCCTCCAGAGATGGTACACTTGTAGAGTCCTTCATCACGTTTGGTAACGCCGTGGATTGTCATGTTTTCTGTAAAGCTTCTTCCGATAAGGCGTCCATCTTTGTAGAAATCAGCTGGGTTGTGTGAGGTTGTCTTGTTTCTGCAGCGCAGAGTCACATCCTCTCCTTCCACCACACTGAGGGGACTCTCCAGGATCACAGGACCAGCTGAACAACATAGGGTTCATATTTTATATCAAACAAAGATGAGTTCATGTAAAGATCTCGTCTTAATGCAAACATACCAGTAACAGTGATATAGATGATGTCGCTTGTCTTCCTATCTCCAGACTCACACCAGTATTGTCCATTGTCATCTAAATAAACAGTTTTCATTGTGCAGGATGACCTTGTTGATGTCACTGGAGTTTCACATGTCTGTAATTCCCCTTTGGACCGATGTACAATTTTCAGTCCAGTTGAGTCGTAAGAGCCCTCACAATGAAAGGTCAGAGACTCATATTCAAAGAACTGCAGTATGTTTGGTTCAGGACGGAGAATCAGTGAATCTGAAACAAATCAAAGAAAGACGAGTTCTCTTATTTCATCAGAAATTACCAAAGGAAGTTAAAATACAGCCAAGCAACAACCTGGTACTTACCAACGTCCTGAACATGTGCACACAGCAGGAATAAGATGTGGACCACTGAAATAACAAAAGAGAAGAGCTCCAAATCACTGAGACTTGTTTAACAGTCGTATATTGTACTGATTCTTATAGCTCCTAAAGCTGCCTTTGATGTTTGACTTTTAAAGTTTTATCTTTCAGGTCCTGAACTTTGTTTAAATATTCTGAACCTGAAAGCCTTTCCTAGCACCAATAGCTTCCTCTGCATTAAACCACTGAAGGGTCTCAGAGATTGTTATTTATCACCATCCTAACCTTTAACGAGAACATCATTTAGTTTAACCAAACGTACTCACAGAGTTTGATGCGGAGGCCGCCGACCTCCATGTTGACTGTCTGAACACTGAACTGAATTATAGCTGAGGAGGGGCTTCTTCCTGTGTGGCTTATTTCTGCTGCTCATGTCAAGTTGTACATTTAGATATTTTTAAAACAATGCACACTGACTGAGCTGCTGTGGTGGTGGTGTAGCCTCAGTTGATAGATTTGCATCATTTGGCGGAGCCAAAGACTGAAGCCGAAACAAAAAATGACTTTTTCTCAGAGTCAGTGATTCTCTCAAGAGATTGGATTGGATCTGGATTTTGAGCAAAGGAACACGAATGCTTTGAGCTGAATGCTATTATCTGCATGCTAACATGTTCGAAATGACCATGCTAACATGCTAATGTTAATTAGATAAAAGGTTCACCATATCTCCAGCCTCCTTATGCATGCTAGCTTGTTTCTTTCCATGTTTACTTAACTACAGCAACGGCTGAAGGGAACATAATGAGTCCTTTTTGATGTTGTTCTTTTTCTTGAATTATTTAATAAATAACAGATCAGTCCACTGGCACTGCAAGAGGAAAAAAGGGATGTTAATGAGGTCATTACAGTTCTGAAACAAAGTGATACTAAATACAGTTTCTGGTTTTGACCTTCAAAATCATGAAAGGTGTCTGAGACAGTTTTAAACATGCTGAACAACCATTCATTTATTTTACATTATAATGGGGGTCTTTTCTTCCACTGGACAGATGTAGAGGGACAGAAGATGTGGGGAGACAGGTACCAAAAAGTGCCTTGAACCTTGGAGGACTGTAGCTTCTAGTTTTCATGGCCTCCTGCTTAACACTGCAAAAACGACGGAGATGGTTTTGGACTTTCGCAGGTCCAAGTCCCCCTTTAAGCCAGTTAACATCAGAGGGGAAGTCATTGAGGTGGTGCAAATCTATAAATACTTAGATGAGCATCTGGACAATAAACTTGAGTGGACTGTGAACACGGACAGAGCCGACTCTTTTTCTTGAGGAGGCTCTGGTCTTTTGATGTGTGCAGTGAAATGTTGGAGCTGTTCTATCAGTTTTAAATTAATATTGATGTTTTGTTTTCTCTGTTCTGTTTTTTCTAACTTGAAAGCTATGGGACACTCCTGAATTTCCCCCAGGAGATGAATAAAGTATTTATCTATCTATCTATCTATCTATCTATCTATCTATCTATCTCTACTCGACCCTCTGAGCTAAACCGGAACTCCTGAAGAAACCATGACTGAGTGATACATGTGACTGTCAGATTTGTCTTTTTCTGGGTTCAGTCATCACTATTTGCAGTGTTATGTGCTGTTTTCTATGGTGGTCTTTATGGGTTCTCTCTGTGAATGAAATTACTGTTTTGACCTTTAATTTTAATCCATCATCAGACTCAGAACAACTTAAACAACATCATGCGCTTTGATTCATTGTCAATTGAATATTTAGCATGTGTTTTCCTTTGTAAACATTACTTTGTCGACCAAACAAGATTCTATAAATATTTGAAATCAAAAATGTTCATCTTTTTTTGTGTAGCCACGTGTAATTTAAGTCTCCAAGGCCATTTTTGTGTTTCTACCTCTGACACAAACACACTAAAAATAAACAAGCTCTTCTCTGCCCCCTGCTGTGCTTTTTAAGTTTTCTGATGACACTGCCATTCTAAGCCTGTTGTACCAGGACATGGACCCCTCATCATATTTCACTGAAGTACAGACTGTTCAGTGATGTGATGCTAACTGCCTTATTGCAAATGTAATTAAAACAGAGGAGATGGTGCTGGATCGTCGTTCTGGGGGAGATCATACCCATGTTTTTATCTATGACAAAAGAATCAACCAGATCAGCGCCTACAGGTATCTTGGTATACATCTTGACAACCTGTTAAGCTGGAAAAGTCATGTTGATCATTTGTGTTGTCGTTTACAGCAAAGACTTCTTACGTAAACTCAGGGTGTTTGGTGTTGACTATCAGATCATGTTTTTGTTTTATCAGGTCGTGTTGGAGAGTGTCCTCAGGAATGGTATGTCAGCATGATACAGTAATCTCTCTGTTCAGTTAAAATCTAAACTTGCTCGTCTGGTGCAGACGTCTCTCCCTACAGTCAACGAGCAGTCTGTTCTCAGACTGGCACAGAGAGTGTTGTCTGAGCCTTCTCACGTCCTCCACTCTGAGTACGAGCTTCTACCTTCTGGCAGACGATAACAAGTCTCCTGATGTAAACTGAGCGTTTATAAAAACTATTTTGTTCTTACGTTGATAAAAATTCTGAATAATGTTTCGTAAGTCTGTGTGGGTTGGGCAATAGCATCAGGGGGTCCCTGTTTGCTTTTTATGTTCTCTTACCTGTGCACTTGTCTCCCATGCTGTGTTTCTGCAGATCCTGTGCATTATGGGTAATGTGCACTTTATGTTGTGTTGTTCTGTATTGGTATGTGCCTGTTTACATGTGGATGAGTTTGTCTATTGGTTTTATTATTGATTGTGGAGGGATCAGCTGAATGTTTGGCAGCACTGTGAGTTCCAGAGAATTTCCCCAAAGGACAATAAAGTGTATCGTATTGTTCACCGACCTCACTGCAGCAAAAGAAGACAAAAAAGACTTCTATCACACATCTTTAATAAAACATGTGAACTATTATTACAGATAGACAGATGTTCTTTGAATTGTTGTTGATATAAAAACATCCAGTGGAATATTACAGTTGAAATGTTCATGTTACCATCACAGATGTTCGAATTATAGGTCGATATTTTAGGTAGATACAAACAGAAAGTGAAGCTCTGAGGCTCGTGGGCTAGGGTTAGAGAAGACGTGGTCTCAGATGTGAATCTTAAAATAGAAAGACACTGAAACAAACTGTGGTTTGCACAAAGTCAATTTACTTTTAGAATCTTCACATCTTCATATAGAAGCAGAAAGAACATCTGTTGCTGGAGACAAATCTAAATGAATCAACATGTGAATTAAATATGTGAAACATGTGAAACAGGAAGAGCTGCCATTATCTTTCATCTGCTCATTGCAAAACATTTCTAATGATTGGATTCTTTTAGCTGTTTAGAAATGTACAATGTTTTCATTGGTTTGCAAAACATGAACTGAATATAAGTGGATCATCATTACATATAATTAACAAGATGATGTAACACATGAAAGAAAGCAGATGAATGAAGCATTATGGGATGTTCTTCATTTCTGGCAACCAAACAAGAAAATGTCTGTTTAATTGTTCAGCCTGTCTTATCTTTTATTTCGGCATCTGAAATCAGCTGAGACAGTGAAGCCGTCCCAGCAGCAACAGCAGCGGAGCCATCATCACTACAGGGAGAAGGTTTCTGAAGATGATGAACAGAAGATCTGAGGACGTGTGAATCTCCTGGTGTGACTCTGCAAAGAAGACAGAAATATAAATAATGCACGCCTTCTCGTGGTGCCTCAAGTTTTCAAACGTAGTATGGGAGGTAGCCTTGAGAATAAAGGTCAACGTACACTCATTTTGAGTCACAATGACCTGACATGACAGGATGAAAATCGTAATTTAAGACATTTGAAGCATAAAATCAGGGAAGAATTGCTTTAAGTAAGTTTAAAATAATGCCAACAGGGGACAAATGTTTACTTTTTATATATTTTAAAATGTTTTTCAGGAAAATGTGGCTTCATCAAGTTTACTTAGAGAAATTTTCAAAGAAAGCCTCTTGGTTGGGGTCTTCAGGACATTATCATGACATCTTGACCTTGCTGTATGTTTTGCCATCGATCATCTTGCTGGTTTAGCGATGTGTTGACAAGCTCGATGGATTTCCAACTCAACTTTTCACAAGATTTCCAAGATGTAATACGATTGTGTACTGTATTTCCTATGGAGGGTCCTGGTCACACAGCGTTCTGTCTTTTCACCTGTCATTTCTCGTGAAGGCACTCCATCCTGGGTCTCATACCCTGACCAAAGGTTCAATCCTAACCCTAACCATTCAAGGATTATGCCCAAACCTTAATCCCCCCTTCCACTTGTACCTTGTGCTAACCCTTATCTTAACCTAAACTGCCAGACTGGATAGCAACCCTCAAAACGTCATTCTGGGTTTGTCATATTCTTGTACATCATTGGATCTGATATGCTTGGGACTCTGGATCCAAATCTTATCAAGAGGAACCCAAAAACATAATAAGTAAATAAATGTATACCTAAGTAAATCATAATAGAAAGGTAGCTTTGGCTAGCTACACAGACACATCAAAACTTCACAACAACATTGTGTATATATAATGTATTGTATATACACATTGTATATATATAATGGGTTGAATACAATATGAATTGAATATATATATATATATAATTAATTCATTGTATATATAAAATGTATTCATTAATGTCACAGATCGGGAAAACCAAGAGAAGGACCCAGATGCAGAATCAACAAAAATATTTAATCAAATAAAAAGGCAAACAAAAACTCACTTCCAAAAAATCCAAACAGGAGAAAACAAGGAGCCTCGGGTAAACCGCCACCAACAACTGACACCGACACCGACAAACACATACAATGAACTGACACAGAAGGGAAGAAACACAGAGACTAAATAGACATAGGGTAATCAAACAAGAAACACTGAGGACAACTACAAAATAAATACATGAAACACTGAAGACACACAGAACTCAAGAATGAACAAAACCCACTAGAACATAGAGAAACACTAAACACTGAAATACAAAACTAGAAAAGACCAAATCATGACAATTAAGTGATATTTTCTTATTTTAAGAGGCTATAAGTACATTTTACCACAGCCCCAAACACAGCACTACATTGCTTAGCTTCCGTGGTTACGCTCAGACTGGCTTCTCCAAACAGGAGCCAGGATAACAGTCATCTTATCTTGGTAATACAAAGTATATTGACAAGTTATTCATTCAACCCTACTAATCCCATCAGAGGGGGTCCAGGACCAAGATGGCAGTTAAGTGAGGAGGCTCCCGAAACTGTGCATGATTTACTTAAAAAAGACCTGATAAAAACGTTTAACATTTAAAAAAGAACCACGGTCTTGATATGCCAAAGACTTCTGCAGTCAAACAGTGTGATATTTTCACTGGAGGACGCAAGACGGGCACGAAAACTACTTCACAGAGTCCACCGAGTGATATAGAAGCTAACATGGCTAATATAGCTGAAGTACTGAACGAGCTAAAATCACTTCGTGCAGACTTCGGCACTCAGTTGGACAGTATTGACACCCGTCTGACTGAAATGGCGAACTCAATGGCTGCATTGGAAAATAAAGTGACAGAGGTAAAACGAGATGTCTCTACCAACGCAGCGCATAACGAAGAAGCTGAAGGCTAACGAGACAGAAACAACTCTTGAAAAAACAGAAGCCGCACTAGACTCTGCAATCAAACATATTGTTTTTCTCGAGTCCAAAACAGAAGACCTGGAGAACCGGGGAAAAAGGAAGAATCTACGGATCTTTGGAATCTGAGAGGGAGCTGAGGGGCAACAGTCACTTTTCGACTTCATTAATGACATATTACCACGGTGGTTGGGGCTGGATGATAACAGATCATTCACGCTTGAGCGGGTGCACCGCGCGCTAACATCAGGGAAGCCCAACCAAAACAGAGCCGTGCTTGTTCGCTTCCTAAAATTTCAGGAGGAGTTTGTTTATCAGAAAACAGAGGAAATTGTATTTGGTTTACCGTCTGATGCTCATAAAGCCCCTATTCTCATTCATGATGAAAAAATCAAGCAAGTGTCATCTTATAAATATCTGGGTATAATGATCGACCATCTGCTGTCCTGGAAAGATCAAATCAATTACATCTGTAAAAAGACAAAACAAAGAATTTATTTCCTCCGCCATCTGAGATATTTTGGGGCGAGTCGACAGATTCTTGTTTTGTTTGTTACCTCTGTGATTCTAAGTGTACTACAGTATTGTAACACCTCATGGTATATGTGTCTGTCCACCACTCTGAAGTCTAAACTGCTCCAGCAGTTGAACATCTGCTCTAAGATTGTAGGCCAACCCATGCAAAGACTCTATGAACTGACGTACAACAAAAGCATTTTAAGACTGGCTAACTGCATCACTTCTGACCCTGACCACGCTCTGAACACAGAGTATGAACTATTACCATCAAACCGGAGATACAGGGTCCCACGTTTTAATAAGGTCAGACTGAAACACTCTTTTGTTCACCAATCAATCCTAAAATTTAATGTGGAGCTGAATCCTCGACCAAAGCATGTTTAGGGCCTCTGGGTATTTGTTTGACGTTTGAGTGTTGTTTCAAATGTTTAAATCTTGAGTGTTGTGTTGTGTATGAGTGTTGTTTCAAATGTTTATATCTTGAGTGTTGTGTTGTGTTTGAGTGTTGTGTCAAATGTTTGTATCTTTGTTTCCTGTCTTAATTGTTGTGCCGCAAACGTAGCCGCTGGGACGCAAGGCAAATTTCAGACTACGTCTGACAATAAAGTATTTTCTATCTATCTATCTATCTATCTATCTATCTATCTATCTATCGTCAAGCAAGACGGCAGGAAATCACACACAAGGGGACCAAGATAACGTTTGCACGTTCGTATCAGGCGGGGATTCAACCTGGTTTCAAAGCTGTTTGTTGACAATAATGCCTTCCGAGGATTTCATCACAACCCCTGTAAGCTCAGAGTCCTATATGGTGGTAAGATACATCTCTCCTCAACACCACAAGAATTAGAAAAGTTTTCCCAAAACATCCCACGGGCAACAGCGGGCACCCGCGACCCGTGAATACTGAATGACGGTATCTACCACCACTACAAACTTTAAGGACTTTACAATATAAATCGTTAACAAGAATGTACATAACTCCTGTCAAACTTCATCATATGTCTGCTAAAATTCCAGATGTTTGTACTAAATGTGTCAGTGAAAAAGGTACTCCTATCCACTGTCTATGGGAATGTCCAAAGATTCAGGACTTTTGGAAAGATGTTTTAGCTTAGTCTGTAGGGACTTGGGTTGGGAATCGGAGGGTTCAAGTCCCGGCACGGACCAAGTCCGGAAATTGGCCTGGTAGCTGGAGAGGTGCCAGTCCACTTCCTGAGCACTGCCGAGGTGCCCTTGAGCAAGGCACCTAACCCCCCCACCAGCTCAGGAGCGCCCACTGTGGGCAGCCCCCTCACTCTGAGACCTCTCCATTAGTGCATGTCCATAGGATCCTGTTTGTGCATGTGTGTGTATTTTGGCCTATGTTTGTGTTGCATGTTTACTAGACAGAGTGTAAAAACGAATTTCCCCTCGCGGGATCAATAAAGTATAAAATTATGATTATAAATTATGTTGTAAAATGTTTGTCAGAGGTTTTTAAAACAAAAATGTCTTTAAATGTCAAACTCTGTGTGCTTGGAATATTTCCGGAGGACTTTACACAAACGCACATGTTGGAAAAGTACGGACGCTCCTACATTGAGAATGTGGATAAGGGAACTTTCAGAGTGTATTGGCTTGGAGAGACTAACGTACATTGCTAAAGGCAAATGGAGAGATTTTGTCCAGCTCTGGGAACCATATATGAACATTATAGAAGCCAGGAATATAGGCTTCACCTAAACAGAAATTGTAAAATGTATTTTATTTATTTTTGATCTAAAAATGTGTGCAAGTTGAGTGTGGGCATGTGAGTTTGTGTATTTTGTCGATACATGTATGGGTTTAAGGTCTGAAACTGTTTAACTGTTACTGTATGTTTCCTTTGTGTTTATAAAAATTGCCAATAAAAACACTAATCCCATCCAATAATACACAGAGCGTCTAAACACCACGCTGAAAACCAAATGACAGAAATGTACCTTCAACAGCCATCCGACTCTCAGCTGATTCTCCTCCTCCAGAGATGGTACACTTGTAGTGTCCTTCATCACATTTGGTAACGCCGTGGATTGTCATGTTTTCTGTAGAGCTTCTTCCGATAAGGCGTCCATCTTTGTAGAAATCAGCTGAGAGGTTGGGTGAGGTCGTCTTGTTTCTGCAGCGCAGAGTCACATCCTCTCCTTCCACCACACTGAGGGGACTCTCCAGGATCACAGGACCAGCTGAACAACATAGGGTTCATATTTTATATCAAACAAAGATGAGTTCATGTAAAGATCTCGTCTTAATGCAAACATACCAGTAACAGTGATATAGATGATGTCGCTTGTCTTCCCATCTCCAGACTCACACCAGTATTGTCCATTTTCATCTAAATAAAGAGTTTTAATGGAGCAGGATGACCTTTTTGATGTCACTGGAGTTTCACATGTCTGTAATTCCCCTTTGGACCGATGTACAATTTTCAGTCCAGTCGAGCCGTAAGAGCCCTCACAATGAAAGGTCAGAGACTCATATTCAAAGAACTGTAGTCTGTTTGGTTCAGGACGGAGAATCAGTGAATCTGAAACAAATCAAAGAGAGACGAGTTCTCTTATCCCATACAAAATACCAAGATGCAGCCTTTGAATAATAAAACTGAAAAACTAAACGGTACATACCCACATCTTGAACATGTGCACACAGCAGGAATAACACACAGATCACTGGAAAGACAAGAGTTGTCGGTTAGATCTCAGATAAAGAGGTTCGGAAATATCTATCAAACAGATAAAGAATCATACTCACACGGCCTGATGTTAAGAGCACTGACCGCCATGATGACTCTCCGAACTTATGACTGAAGCGTCCAGCAGGTGAGGAGGGGTCTCCTGCTTATATTTGGTGCTGATGCGATACATGGTTTGTTAGGGTTGAATAATTTTACCACAGACAAGCTGATCAAGACCCTGAGGGGTTCATTTAAATGTTATAAGGCGGAGACAATGAACAGAGACAAACTGTCTGTGAGAGCAAACTGTGGTTTAAATGCAGATACTAGTTTAAACTGAAATAACACAGACAGGCTCAGTGCCATAGCTTCATCTTTTTTCTAAGCGCTTCATCTTTCTAGAGCAGCACTTTAAGAGAGAACTCACACTTGGACATCTGTACCGTACATAAGCACATTTGGCCCCTATAGTCCTGTTTGTTTGACTAATGTGAGTGCTCGCTACACTTCCTCGGCCCTGGGTTAGTTTTAGGGTTAGTGTATGGTTAGGTTGGGGAAGCATAGACTCAATGACCCCTCCGCGAGTCAACTAAGAGCAGGCAGTTAGATAGGGATGCAAGGGGGTTACATGTTTGAAATTTGAATAACTCTTGATGGGAAGGTCGCACAGACTTGGAACCAAGATGTGCTCCCCCATTTACAGGCCCTGGCTTTCCATTGGTACCACCCATGAGTGTGTATGACGTCGGGAAGTGTTCAAACGGTGACTGGTTGAAGTGTTTTTGGCCATATCTCAGGAACGGAAGGTCTGTTGTGGAGTTATATGCCTAAACATGGGCCCATCTGAAATGAATAGGCTGAGCTGTGATGTGAAAAAGGAGCACGTTAGGAGCACGTTTCAGAGCATTTGGAGTCAATGGGTAACCAGTTTGTTGTGTCTCTTTTGTGAGTCGACTTGTGTACTTGCTGAGACTTGCAACACATCCCGAGTAGTTAGGTTTAGTAAAAGGGTGTGGGGTTAGGGTAGGGTTAGGTTAGGTAGGGGTACCCCTCTGGGGGACACTACGAGGGGCACAGGCACTCGGGGGACGATGGGTATTAAAACCTCCTTAAAAACCTCCTTAAAAACCACACAACAAGTGTTTCATAAAAGCCCTCTATGACAGTATTAAAATTTGGATAAAAAGGTGACCAGACCACTGTGCAGGAGAGGCAGGCGGAGCTCTATTGTTAATTAAAAGCCTCCGGTGTCCCAGGGCCTCTGTTAAACCATCTGAGGAGTGTCCAGGCTATGGCCATTGCTAAATAAATATATATAAATAACCTTAAAGAAAGTATAAAGACTAGATAAAAGAAAGAGTGCTCTGAATTCAAAGAATTAAAGCTGTCTAAAAAATGTATACATATATAAAGTGCTCAGAATAAATTAAAACACATCAAACAATAAAAGGAATAAAAAAGTTGCTAAAATAGTAAAAGTAAAACTCACACAACCGTCATAGTAAAATATATATATATGCAGTCACCTATTTAAAACAGCTAAAACCCATGATTCAATTCATAAAAGATCTTTATAAATAAATAAATATATAAAAAAATAAATTAAAGGATAAAAGTGCAATAAACCATCACCAGACACATCTAAGGCTTTTCTAAAAGAGCTTTATTAATAAAATAGTTTAAGAGAAGGACTCCCCCCGGACGGGAGCCCTCCTGATAAAAACCTGTAGGAGAGAGGCCCTGGGAGACCAGGAGTAAAGCATTTCTAATAAATACTGAAGCTATTTCATTAAAAGGGAGGAAATGGGTCCACCCTAGTATTTTTCATTTAGACCGGTTGGATCTATAGTTTTTAGTAGATGGATTCATTTCCTCTCCGCCGCTCATCTCTGGACAGTGGTCCCTGTTGCTCTCCAGGCCCATGCTCTCAACATTGTGTTGGCCGTGGAGTTTAAAATGTGCATGACACTGGTACCATTCCCGCTGTTCATTTTGAAAAGTGCTGCTTTATTCTGGCTGTTATGTCGTTCCTGATCTCACCCACATAGAGTCTGTGGCAGGCCTTACATCTGATAGCATAGACTGCATTAGTTGTACAAGGTTTCAAGGCCTGCCACGGGTTTGTGCCGACTGTGGCGTAGGTGTTAAAAATGTGGGGGAGACGGATAAAACCAATGTCAGAGCCTCGAGACGCTTCCCCATTCTGCTCATCTCTATTTAAGTTAGTGTGAACAAGAATTGTTTCTTGTTTGTTTTTGTTTCTGCGGTAGGCGGAGATCAGCCGACAGTCGCCAGCACGTCACAGCCCTCCCTCGCCCCCTCAAAGTTGTTCTTGAGAGATTGATTAAAAGGTCTTTAAACTCTCAGAGTAGGTGGTCACCATGGGGACAAGAGTAGGACTGGACGGCCGGGCGTTCGGGTTGTTGTACCTGTCGTTAAAGGTCCGGCTGACCTCCGCCCTGATGGTTCTGAGGAAGCGCCTCGAGTAACCCCTGGCCTCAGCGCACTGAAGAGGGTGCTGTGGCCTCCTCCACATGCTCCGGAAGGTGCAGATTCTGTGGAAGCGTATCAGCTGGGATTTTATCAGGCCTCTGTACGTGTGCCTGGGGTGATAGCTCGTTTTATGGAGGAGTGCATGGCGTCCCTGTCTTTGGAATATACTTTGTGGCCAGTGTTTTGGACTGGAGGTACGGAAGAAGACACAGGTGTCCAAGAACTCGACTGCAGATGTTTGTGTTGTGTTTGAGTTTTATTTTAGGGTTGTGTGAGTTGAGAATGTCCAGAAATGTCAGAAAGTCCTGTTGTGTGCCCTCCCATAGGCCGAAGATGTCGTCCAGGTACTGGAAATACAGGAGGGGTTTGATGGGGAGTTTGGTGAAATCCGTTTCCTCACAGTGGGCCAGGTAGATATCGACATATCTGGGGCATCTCTCCAGCCCATCGCACAGCCGCACAGCTGGAGATAGTGCTGACTGTTGAACATGAAGCCGTTACGGGTGAGGGTGATCTGTAGTAGCTGTAAAATGTGGCTGTCGGCTCTGGGTGTTTATTGAATATGTGTTGTGTTGTATGGCAGCTAGGCCAATTGGTGTTTCTATTTTAGTGTAAAGTGAATCTATATCTATGGAGAAGAGGAATGTGTGACCGGGTACCTGCAGGTGTTTTATTTTATTAACAAAATCGTAAGTGTCCTCGATGTAACTGGGGTGAAGTTTGACGAGTGGGTTGATAAAGTGGTCTATGTATTCTGTTATTGTGTAGGTTTCTGAATTGCAGTCACTGACAATGGGGCGGCCGACCGGAACAACAGAGGGGACCGTCCAGGTCTCAGGAGGCTTGTGGATCCTGGGGAGCAGAAAGAAGAGGCGTGGCCTGGGTTCACTGGGACCGTCCAAATATTGTTTTTTTGAAGTTGATGAAGTTTTGTCTATAGAGTGTTTCTGTAATCTTTCTAACTAGTGTCTGTGTCTCTAATTGTAGTGAGTGTGTCAGTGTTTTATAATATGTGCTGTTATTTAACTGTCTGTGTGCTTCTAAGATGTAATTGTCTCTATCCTGAATAACTATTTCCCCCCTTATCTGCTGGCTTAATGACTATTTGTTTGTGATTACCAAATGTTCTGATGATGCGTTTATGTTCCTGACTAATGTGCGTTCTGTGTGGCAGGGGCGCCAATGTGTGAGTGCAAGGTTGTTTTTATGGATGAGTTGAGAAATAGCAGGTGAAAGTGTGTCTGTGTTTGGTGACCAGTGGGACGGTCCAGTGAACGGCACAGGCTCCCGCCTCTGTTCCCCCTGGAAGTGATCCATTAACTTAAGCCTCCTGTGGAAGGTGTGTAGGTTCCCTCTGAGCTAAGGAGTGCTGATTAACTTTCAGACCCCAGTAAATACAACACCTTGACCGAATATCATGGAATTTTAACCAAATAACACAAAAAAATAAATTACACACCACAGCTTTGTTGTATTACATATGTATTACCATTAATACATTAATACAACAAACAGTCAAACCCTAATCCAGACAGTCTGGCAAGCATTTAAAGCTAATCAACCTTTGGTAGTTGGATCATTAGCTATTCATCATATAAAAACAACAAGCTGCTGAGGAAAGATGATTAGTTATCTAAGCTTAAAAATGTTGAGTTGAAACATATAGGAGATCCACAGAACATTCTTTTGACTAAGGAATTACTTTTGGCAAGGGCTCAGGCACAAGAACAAAAAGGTAAGAAAATGTGAAAAAAGGAAAAATGCTTTCATAGCAACTGAAAGACTTGATCAGGAGGTTATTAATTTTAGCTTCAGAAGTTGTGTGCATCTCTGTATAACGCTGAATATAAGATGGAAAAACAAGTTAGACAATGTCTTCAATAATCCACCTTTGTCTAAGTTAAAAGAGGAAGATGAAGAAAAATTTGAGGCCCCTATCTCAGAGTTACAATGCAGACAGGCATCGTATCATTGTTGCCAAAACCTGTGGAAGACCATTTGAATGCAAACAACTACAGGCAGTTAAATTTGCTTTATAATGACTACAAAATGTTGGCACAAAGATTAACAAAACAAACACAAAAATAATAACAAAACAAACACATTTTCACTGGCATGGGGAGAATTATTTTAAGTTTCTTGAATTTGTGTTTGAAGGTTTTTCTGTCTTTAATTTTCCGGTTTATTACAGAAAAAACATGTTAATTAGGTCAAATTACCTCCACAGATGTTGCCCAGAGACTGCCAGACAACAGAATATATTTAATGGGAGAGAAAATATCATGAATAGCATCGGTTTGAATTAGAAAATTGAGCTCCTCCCATTGAAACACATTGAATGAAACAATGTAATAACTCACACAAAACCTTATTTATTAACAAAAAAGCCTGCAAGTTACAGTTTGATAATAAAACTTAATACTTTCAAGATCAGCCAACTCTCAGTATTATTGATTGACTGGAAATATTGATGCATGATGTCCAATCATGATTTTTTTCAAAATCTCAAATCCATA